GGGGGGGGGGGGGGGGCTGTGCGGTCTTGGATCCGGAGAGGGTTGGGCCGGACGAGGCGATGTGCAGGGCTGCGCGCCGGGGGTTCTCGTCGGCGTACAGGAGAAGGCAGGGGCGCGCTGGGCCTAAGTATACAAGCGCGTTCTGTCGGATATGAGGGCCTAGTCTCGCACCGACAGTTCCTCGCTAGAGCGCTGCTGGCGAGCTTTAGCTGCAGGCTACACCTCAGGCTGTAACACATCTGACCATCTCTCTTCTCTGGTTTTGCGTTGGCGCAAGAGAAAATGATTTAAATATACTGCCGTAGGCGTAAAAAAAAGTAAAAACCGGTGCAGCCCCATGGTGTATGCAGTATGGCAGCGCACACGGCACAGGCACAGCCCGGCCGCATCACACAGCCAGCCCACCCCCTTACCATCCGAGATACATCAGTGCGTCCCCGGTGCGTGCAAGCGTGCTGGCTGCTGAGACGCGGTGCCGCGGCGGCGCGGGGTCCGGAAAAGGTAAGCGAGGAAACCGTCAAAGCTCAATCCTCACAAACCGCTGTGAAAAATGTATATCTCTATCTATCTCGGTCGACGGCAGACTTTTACGTTTTCAGTACGTACTTTTAGCTTACTCTCTGGGAGAAGAGGGAGAGGGGGTTGTGTTCTCTTTAGGCCCCTAAGCGCAAACAAAGGGCCCTAGACTCGCGCGGCGCGTGTGAGAGCGGTATAGTGTTGGCCCAGACCGCACTCGTCCGGTCTCCGCAGACGCGAGGACCCCCCGCGGCATATGGGCATCATCCGCGTGGGATGACATCATGTCATCCCGGGGATCAACATTGCACATGGGCTCCAGCTCCGGCGTCCGAGGCCGGGCGGCCCATCCTCCCATCCATGTCTCCTGGCCGGGGCCCCATCGCCCATGCCATGGTGGATCTCGATGGGCCGCAGGGCCCGCGCACACCGCGGCACAAGTCGGCAGAGCTGACCCCACCTTCGGACCCCCCACGCGACACGCGCCCCTTCACAGGCCTCTCGGCGATTTTCCGGTACGATAGCACGCTAAACACACCACACCGCTTGCGCCACTAGGGGGCCTCGCACAGTTCCACAGAGCACAGTTCGTCAGGCGGTGAGTCCACACGTGTTCAGAAAAAAGAGGGCTCGGGCGATCGCCGCTTCAAAACTCGTCGCTTTCGCTGTCGGCCGCGCCAAAATCATCGAGCGAGCCGGCGCCGAGGCCGCCGAGGCCGCCACCCCCCATCATCTCTGCCAGCTTCTCCTGAACGCCCTCGGCGTCCATCCCTTCAAACATGCTGCCCATCGCGCCCATCGACTGCTGCATCATCTCGGCCATCTTGCCGACGTCGAGCTGGCCCTCCTCGTCCTGCATCTGCGCGAAGGCGTTGGTGACGTGGGCGATCCCCTGCTCCAGCGCCTCGGGGTCGGCGAACGCCTGCTTCAGCCCCGGCACCGCGTCCGCCATCTGCGCAAACATCGGGTTGTTTGCCATCGCGGCGATGCCCTCGCGCAGCTTGTCCGGGTCCGTCAGGACGGACTGCATCTCTTGCATGAGGTTCGCGCCCTCGCCCTCGCCTCCCATCAGCTCGGACAGCTTCTCCTGCAGCGCGTCCGGGTTCTCGAGCAGCGATGCCGCCTCCTTCATGTTGGCGGCCATCGCCTGCGCAAAGTCCTTGCCCGCGCCAGCCATCATCTTGCCGAGCTCCGCCGTGTCGCCCCCCTCCCCGCCCCCCATGAGCTCCTGCAGCATCGCCATCTGCGCCGCCGGGTCGGCGTCCGCGCCGCCGCCCGCCGCCATCTCGCGGAGCTTGGCGAGCTTGGCCTCGAGGTCGCCGCCCGCCGCATCGGCGGCGGGCTCAGACTCGCCAAGCGGGTCGACGCCCACGCGGCGCGGGCGGAGCTGCGCCTCACAGGACAGGAGCGCGCCGAGGACGAAAACGAGGCGAAACATTCGGAACTGGCTTTGGTCGCCGCGTGGTTGCGAGAACACAAGCCGAGAACGCGCTCCGTGGACGCCACCGGCGGCACGAATTCTTTTTCGCCCGCATGAAACCGGCACTTAGCTCCGTGCGCTCGAGCAGGGAAGTTCGCTCCGGATGTGTGGCAGCCGCCCCGTTGGCTGAGTGTCTTGTCTTGTGGTTCTGTGTGTCGCTCCTGTGAGAGAGAGAGAGAGAATTCTTGATACGAAACCACGACGACACACACCAGTCGACTCGCATCGGTTGCCTCCATGAACGGCGGAGCTATTCTCGCGCCCACACCACACCTGGCTCCAACGTGGACACGCCCATAGCTGGGGACACTACTAGGTCACGCATGGCATCACAGAAGTTTTATCTCTGGGCCCCGAAAGGCATCTCTAGCAGTGTCGTTACACATGCCCCCTCCCCTCCTGGGCGCATGCGCCTCACGTCTCGCCAGAGCATAAGCCCTTGGCGTGTGGCGAGACGAGTTTTTCGCCATCGCAGCGAGCAGCAAGCCGCCCGCCGCAAACAGCCGGAGGCATCGCCACGGCACTGGCTGCGCCGCGGTCCCGCACCCGTCGACGCAGCTCCCCCCGCGGAAGACCGCGCGTAGCAACGTCTTGACGATCGAGATGAGCGTGCCTGAAGCTCGCCCACCTACTGCCCCTGAGAGTTGGTTATTGAGTGGGATCAGCTCCCCCCCTTGGGATCGAAGCCGCCACAACCTCACACCCAACATCCCAGGCGGGATCAGAAGGGGACTCCACACCGGACACCGCCCGGGCACAGCCCCCCTACCCGTCGGATCGCACAGAGGGCCCCCTCGGAGCAGCCCACACACAATCACGCATCGGCAGATTGAGTGCCTGAGTCAGGCAGACAGCACAGACAAGAGGAGAGAGAGGAGAGAGAGAGAGAGAGAGAGGAGAGAGGAGAGCGGGTGAGGGTGTGAACACACGTGAGGAGTGGGGGAGGGTGTCTGTGGTGGGTTGTAGTCATACTACGTGGTTACAACCACGCGCCCCTCAGGAGCTTAAGGTAGAGCTGAGCGTCCAAGACGCCTCGGTGCCTCCCACCGGCGTGAAGACCATCCGGATCTGCCCAGTACGCCCTCCGGGCGAACGGTCCCCGCGATGGCCCACGGTCCTCCGTCGCCTGGTTGAACCCCCTGCCTCCCGGTTGACCCCCCGGTCCCCGTACACGACCATGAAATAAACTCAAAGTCCACCACAGCCACCAGCCTCCACCTCCACCCGCGAGCCGCCACCGCTGCCGCCCGCGACGCCGCCCGCCGCGTCAGATAGCCGCGACGCGCGCATCGAGTCGCGTCGGAGAGCCGCGCCGCACCAGCAGCAGCATCTGCACCACCAGCAGCAGCAGCACCACCACCACCACCACCCGAGAGAGAAGCGCACCTGCCCGACGCCGCCCGCCGCGTCAGACGCTCGCGACGCGCGCGTCGAGCCCAGTCGCACAGCCGCGCCGCGCCAGCAGCAGCATCGGCACCAGCAGCAGCAGCACCACCACCACCAACAGCAACAGAGACAGGCAGTGCAGGCGCAGAGGCGCTCGCAGAGCGGCGCTCAGCGCCGCGCACGCCACGCTGCGGACCGTCGGACGAGCGCACCGTACGTCGGCGGCGAGCCGCGTCGCCAGCCGTCTCGCGAGAGAGCGGCGCCGCCGCGTGCGCGCAGCAGCCGCCGCGGCAGAGGCGAGCCGCGGCGACGTCCGCACTAACGGATAACGGCCATTCTCTCTCTCTCTCTCGCTCCTGTGTGACCGTCATCGCCCGTCCTGCGTCCACCCATACCGCGTTGGTGTCCCAGTCGTTGGTCGGACTGTGTTTCGCCTTCCTATCTATGTTCGTTTACAATTATGTGATGTGGAGTCTGGCCGCGCGGCGGGCGGCGGGACGGACGTAAGATAATGAATCGATGATGCGATCAGGCGTAACAAGCGCGATTGCACAAGGGGTGGAGGAGGGTCTGGCCACCACGGGGCGAGGGAGGCGGTGGGCCAGATGCCGGATCCGCTGTGCGCGTTTGTCGGTCAGGGCGCGGCGCTGACCGCGGCGGCCTGGGCCGCGGCGGCGGCGAACGCCGACGGCGGCGGACCATTCCAGCGGCTCGGCGAGGGCCGGGGCGCGGCGTTGCGGGAGGCGTGGACGGTGGAGGCGGTGCGCACCGTGCCCGCGGAAAGGCGGGCGGCGGCGGGCGACGCCGACGAGCTGTTCACGTACGCCCGTCCGCCCACGAAGAGGGAGAGGCTCGAGAAGGGCGAGCGGCGCGCCGAGCAGCACCAGGGGTGGGCCGATGCGCCGAAGGAGAAGAGGCGGAGGGCGGCGGAGGAGCAGACGGCGGCGCAGGCGGCGCTGCTGGGGCCGCTCGCGGCCGCGGACACCACGGCGTCGCTGGGAGGCGCGCTGATGCGGAGGCCGAGCGCCATCGTGGCGGCGGTGCTGCACGCCCAGAACGCCACCGGCGAAAAAGAATTTCCCGCGTGCCCCCGAAGTCTAGCTCAAAAACAATTTGACAAAGCTCCCTCGCGAAAAAGAATTCGCGATGGGGCGGCGGGCATTAAAAAAGGGCGGCGAGGCACTTAGCTCCATCACTCGACCGCCCCCGCCGCAGGCGAGCTTATTCACAATCTGCTCTGCGATGGCCGTATGTAGAAGAACGGCTGAAATAACAAACAAATAGTCTCCGGCGTCTCGCCTAGACTCCCTTGCGTCACTACGTGAGGAGAGAGATTTTTGAAGACCAACAAGAAATCACGACCCTCGCAGTGACTACGTGCCTCCTCTAGGGTACCCATGTCTACTCGCTGGAGCCGAGCAGGAGGGCCTGGCGCACAACCCCTGGCCTTCTAGGCCCGCGGGTAGAGCCGTAGTCTCCCCCCATACCCCAGGGCCTCCAGGGCTCGCACCTCAACCTCTCACAGACCAGCGCATAGCGCCATAGGAAAAAAGTAATATATCTTTACTTCCAAAACCCGGACGTGCCTCCACCGGCACGCCGCTTCCGACAGGGTGATGGAAGGTTCGACGCACCCCCGGACTGGGCAGAGAGATCCCAGTGCATCTGCGCTGGGCTGTCCACCCCGCCCCCACTTGCCCTGACTGCACAGGATAGCGTGCCCCGACGAACGGCGACACATAGCGGGGGACACTGCGCCGGGGGGTATGCCTAACTTTGGTGCTTTGTGTGGGTCGCGTTCCCTTGGTAGCTGTGTGGTTGAAGCCCTCGTGCCGCTGGCTTGCCCCTTCCAGCGGCTGGCCCCTCGAGACTGTCGGTGCTTGGCGGGAGGAGGGGGAGAGGGAGGCCCGGTGGGAGGAGAGGGAGAGGGAGGCCCGGTGGGAGGGGAGGGAGAGGGAGGCCATCTTGGGCTCTTCTCCTCCCCCCTCCCTGGGCTCTTCTCCTCTCCCCACCCTGGGCTCTTCTCCCCTCCTCCCTGGTACTCTCGGCCTGATTACCGGAGCGACTGCCGGAGCAGACGCTGGGGGGACACTCGCGCCCGGAGGCGGTACGCACGACCCGGAGGCGTGGGGATGGGGGGGGGCCGCGCCGCCGCCGCCGTGCCGCCTTCTCCCGCTTTGACCTCCCCCAGCTGCTTCTCCTCAAATCAACCTGTGAGCTTGCGAGGCGGCGGGGGTGGGAGTGCTCTCGGGCGGCGTGTGCGAGCGCGCGCGGCGCGAGATCTCTTTCGCGAGGGCACGGTGGGTCGGGTGAGTATCTCGCGCGCTCGCACTATTTCACGTTATATCAAGCACTGCCTTTGATGCCTTTGCAAGAACCGCCAGCGGCGGTGGTCGAACCGGTTCGCGGTTCGAGCCGGGACCTTTTGGCTCCCGGTTCGGAACTCGCTTGGAGGGTTGCTTCGCTCTCGCGGAGCGAGCGCGGGCGCGTGGGTGCGTGTGCGCGTGCGCTGCTGCAAGGCGAGGCGAGGCGAGGCGCGGGGCGGCGCGGCGCGGCGAGGCGGGCGGCGGCGGCGCGCGGTCGTTCTTTTTGCCCGGGTGAGGCGTGGCTTGCGCGCCGCGTGGTGATGACGCAGCACGCTGAAAAGTCCTTGGTGAGCCACCGCGGTGGCAGCGAGCCAAAGCAAGCCACCTGCCGCATGACGGGTTGACCGACGGCGTCTCTTTTCTCCGCATAGCGCCATAGGACGTATTTTCTTCTCATAACAAGGCTGTGCAACTGAGGGTCCTTCCGTCCTTCCCCTTTATTAAAATGAACTCGGGGGCACGGGACGCGGCACAAACCTCAAACGGGGCACACAAGTCAGGCTCCAAACACGGGGAGGCACGTAGTGACGCAAGGGAGTCTAGGCGACGGTGGCGTCCTCCGACGCCGCGGCGAGCCTGGGCCCTCTTACGTGGATAGGTCGGAGTCTGGCAAGTGCCGATTCCCGAAGAAAGGGTTGTCGCCGCTGCCGCCTCCGCCTCCGCCTGCCCCCTCGCCTCCACCTCCGCCGCCGCCGCCGCCCTTTCCCGTCTTCTTCTTGGCCGTCTTACCTCCCTTTGCGCGCACCGCCGCTGGCTCCGGCGCCTCGAGATCTGTGGTTTCCACGGCGCGGTTAAGGGAGGAGCCCGCCGCCGCCGCGTGCACCCCCGCCAGGCTTCCGGCGGCGGCGGCGGAGGTGGCGGAGCTCCACTCGCTGCGCGCGGTAGAGGGCTCGGCCTATGTGTGGCGGTTTCTACCTTCAGAGCAGTGATGCTCCCATTTCGCACACGCGCAGTAAGCGCGAAAGCTCGCGGCCTGGCCGGCCGTGTTAATTGTGGCCGCCTGCCGCTGGCGCGGCTTGACGCTCTCCCCCTGGCAGGAGCAGCCAAAGATGAGCTCGACCAGCCCGACAAACCTGCAGTTCGAGATTGCTTACTCTGATTCTCATCCTGACCAGCAAAAGAGGAGAGCCCCCCCGAGCACGGTCTGACAAACCTAACATGAGCCCATTCTTGTTAGAGGAAGGAGGCAGAGTGGAGAGCGCCCGGGAGATCCGCCGGCAGAGACATGGCCATCCCGCCAATCGCCCACGAGAAGAAGCAGAGCGCGCACGAGCCTGCGCAGTGTGAGGCGTCGGGGTGTGAATGCGGGCCCGGGGGGTGTGTGCTTTTGTGTGAATGCGGTATCGTGCCGTGCATTCGGACGAGTGCCGCGCGAACACACACGCGGGCTGAGTACGACGAACACAGCGGAGAATATGCGGCTGATGCAGTTGAATATGCGTGGCATCTCGAGTGCGAGTCGGAGGGCAAAGAGACGTGTTCGCTTCTAGGGGCACGCGCCGCCGTCGGGGTCCACCAACAGAATGTTGGTGCCGCAAAAGAAGAAGAAGAACGCCCGCCCCGCCCAGTGCCCGAGGAAGCCGAAGCGGATGAGCAGCCACTCCGTCTTGCCAAACTGCAGCAGCAGCATCAGCACTCCGAAGAAGATGTTCCACATCTGTGTGGCGTCGCGGCGGCGCGGCGGCGGCGCGGTCAGACGGGAGCGAGCAGCACAGGGCGACCGACGCGCGCGTCAAGGAGGGCGAGCCGCACCACACGGATGAACGCGACGAAGTTCACGAGGAGGCCGACGGGGTTGAGTACGAGCAGGAGCACCCCGAGTGTGATGAAGCAAGTCCCGACGACGCTCGTAAAGACCTTCTTTATGCTCTTCAGGCCTGGCGCGTGGCGGACAAAGGTTGGGTAGAGGTGCGTGGAGGGTGCCGGAGAGCGCGGAGCCTCAAGGCGCTCAAACGCCCCGCGCTTCCCCGGGGGCGGAACGGCGGCGAGGCGCGCGCCTTTGATCGTGCAGCAAGCCCACTTGATCTGGTCGCAGAGCGTCATTGGAAGAAGAGTCCGGCGTTCGGCGCCTTGTCTGGACGAGGCGCTCAGAACAAAGAATTTTGCCGCCGCTAAACGCCTATAAAATCCCTTTCTGTCCCTGATCGTCCTTCCAAGATCCTGCTCGTGCAGGTGGGGACCCTGTCCCTCTCCCACCCCCTCGTTTGGCGTGCCCGTTTTATTTATTTATTTAAAATCCCTTTCTGGTGGCGGGGTGCCGTCCTCCCATCCCTCCCTTGGGTTGCCTCTTTTCTTTCTTTCTTTTTCGGGAGCCGCCTAAGGGTGAGGCGCTCGTCCAAGACATGCTCAAAAGAAACCAGGCTGCCTGACGTGACACACCCCCGCCTACAAACATGTACATGTACATGTGATGCCGACTGCCATCCACACGCCTGGCCACGCCCTCGCATCCCCGACAGCGGCAAGCGGCAAGCGCCTCGCCGCCCACCCTGCCCACTCTCCGCCCGCAGCCGCACTCGTGCGCCCATCCAGTTTGCTGAACGCTCCGCGCCTGCCGCCGCCCTCATAGGAACGCCGCGATATGATTGAACTCGCTTGGGCCTTGGCGGCCTCATCACGCCCGCCTTTGGCGGATTCGCCGCTCTCGCCGTGGATCATGATGGCCTTGCTGCGTAGCGCAAGAAGACTTCAAAAGACGGAAGGCCGGCCGAGCCAGTATCTCTGTGCACCGCCCTCCACGAGAGAGCAGGCTACCTAGCCACTCTTTCCTTGTGTTTCTTTTTAAAGTGTCTCTCTCTATAATCTCGAAAACGGCAGAACCCCATTTAGAGGAGAGAGGGAGAGTGAAAACTCAGAGTCCCAACATCGCCATCTCCTCGGGTGTGCTAGCCAGACTACCTATCAGGTGTGGTGCATGCCACGGTGCACGGGCAGACATAAGACACCTTCTCAACTCACCCACACCCCCTCGCTCCAATATTGCCGCCAAGCACCTCTTTGTTCTCACGGGGGAAAGGCGATGCTTTGTCGGTGTACCGCGCCTTTTCCATGGTCTCGTGTCGTTTTGCGATCAGCGTGGTGCATTCCTTCACGCGGGCGAGCCACTCGGGTGTTGGAGCAGGCAATCCCGGTGGATGTCCCAGCCCCTTGGTTGCTGCCAAAATCTCCGTCGGCAGCACGGCACTGATGAGCCGCGTGTTGTGGCCAACAATGCCTTGCAGCATGAAGGTATCTTTCTGGTGGTAATTCCATGGCGGGTTGACAATGTACTGTTGCCAGACACCGTCTAGCAGCCCCAGGAACCACGCGTGCGTCTGCAAGTGTGCCGAGAGACCGCTATGCCGAAGAGGGTTCTGCGTGTTTAGCACCCTCCCGTCATCGCTGATGATGGGCTGGACGTCAAGCTGCCCCTCAATGACGTTGTCTGTGCAATTTATGAGAAACGAGCCGCGCTCCAACGGAACGTAGTCATGCGTCTGCCCGTCAGGAGATCGCACCTTCATGCGGAGCCCGTCAGCGCTCTCCTCGATGTCCACCAGATGGCCCTTTCGGGTACGCTCCGTGAGTGCGGCTCTGCAAGTCTCGATCTCTTGCTTACTTGCAATCCCCGCCACAAAGTTCTGAGCGTCAGGCACAAACGAATGGAAGAACCCCTTCCTGGACAGTTCTTGGTAAACGGCCTGCGCATTCTTGCCGTCGAACATGGCGCACATCTCAAGAAAGTAGACTGGGAGGAGGTTGCCGTCGGTGTCCACCGGGTGATCGACCTGCTCGCGGTCCATAAACCACGTTCCACGTCCTGCAATGCACCGGAACCGGGAGACCCAACCGGGTTCCCGCAGCACCGCAACCTGAAGACGATCCACAAGAAGATCCGCACTCCAGAGGGGCGACGCTTTCAAAACGCGTCGCTGATCATGAGGGAATACGCCGGGGAGCGTTGGCCGCAGCTCTTTTTCGGGGCGGAGCTGCGAGACGCTTATAAGGCCACCAGTCAGATGTACAGCCCTTACAACCGGGTGAGGCTCCAGTGCCTCGCACGGCAGGCCGGGGTGGACAGCTCGAACCTGCCATGTGTACGATAGCCGGGAGCGCGGAGGGGCCGGCCTCTTGAGGCCGTGTGTCTGCCATATCTTGCTCTTGGCTCTTGCGCTGGCCTGGTGCACACTCGCAACAGAACTGTACACTCGCACGCACACACATTAGACATTTTGCGTACTGTATTGTGTTGATGGTGACTCTGTCGACTGTTCTGAGTGTTGTGTACTAGCCTTTTTGTGTGCTTTCTATTTTGCTGTGAGAGAGAGTTCTTTTGTTTATATTCTTATTCTATTTTGAAGAGAATCATTCTTGAAACGATACAAGCCTCTCTCACAGCACACTGGCACGACAAGGGCGCGGACTGGCGCGGTTAAGAGAAAGTCCGGCCCGCTGGGTGCGCTCTTCTTATTTCTTAGCTCCCCCCCGCCGGCCCTGCGCCCTGGTGCACGAGACGTGAGGCAAATCGCATTTCGCAAATGACACTGCACTCCAAGAGTGCGCTCCAAGTTTCGCAAGTGCTCCACCAATCCATGGCCCCATTGTCTATACGTAACCTCAAGTCTTTGCCTTTTCCGGTCCGACTCACATTGTTGACCGTGCATACTTGGAGTTCTATTTATATATTTCTACGCTTTGCCCCCCCACTTGCCCCACGCCACCTCGTGTGTGTGGAGAAGTTTACCTTACCTTACCTTACCTTATTTCTCTCCTTCCCTCTTTCCTTACCGTAGAGCGGCGCTGAATCCTCATCGCCCGAGCAGGCGCGCGAGGACGGGGTGCATCCGCGCCTCGCCGAGGTTGGGCGACGGCAGCGGCGCCAGCCAGCCGAGCGCCTCGCCGGTGCGGTGGGTGCGGTCGAGGTGCTCGAGCGCCTGCCTGGCGCCAAACGCAGCGAAGCCGCTGTTCGGATCCTCGAGCGCGGGCAGCGGCGCCGACAGCGGCCGCGGCTGTGAGCGGTACTCGAGCTGCAGCGAGCAGAGCGCCTGCACGGGGAAGACCACTCACTGGTCGGCAAGGCGGACGGTGGTGCTGGAGCGGGAGCGAGCAGAGCGTGCCTCGCGGACGAGCCTCGAGCCCGCGGGTAATCTCGGGCAATCTTGGGTAATCATCTCGGGTAATCTCGGGTAATCTCGGGTAATCTCGGATAATCTCGCGCCTCGCGGACGAGCCTCGAGCCCGCGTCCGCCTTGCGCAAAGCAGGAGTCGGTCAAGAACGAAGGCGCAGGTTGGGTCAGTAGTCATCAAATAGTCAACCGGCCGCCTCGCAGCCACTACGCTGGAGAGTGATAATGTCAACCAGCAGGACATGGATAACTAGTCGTTGCGCGCGCCGTGCTACGCTGGGAGATGATCAGTACTAGAGGGAACGAGTCATTGGGCCGCCTCGCAGCCGTAGAGCAGGAGCGGCTGCTGGTTGGGCTCAGAAGGCGCCAGCATCAGCCCCGCCTACCCCCAGCCTTCGGATCACCGCTTACCGGTTCACAGCTTCCGGCGGAGCATAGTGCCAGCATCTTCCGCCTCCGGCCACGGGCGCAGCGCCGAAGGCGCCGCAAGGAGAGGGAAGTCGAGCAGTGTCCGCCTCCTTGGGTTGAGCGCCTGATCCAGCGTTGGCCGCTCGACGCCGCCGCCGTACAGAGACCACAAGTGCTCGCAGATGGCGGCGCTGTCGCTCAGCGTGACGCCCGCCGTCCGGTCCACCAGCAGAGGAAAGCTGAGGCGGCTAGATGCTCCCGCCTCCGCCGCCGCGGCAGCCGCCTCGGGCCTGTGCCTCGAGGTTGCTCCAAACGCACCCTCCGCCCGCAGCGTCTCGCGAGGGCACGGTTTGATTAGAGCCGCGAGGCCGAGCACGCCAAGTGTCTCTCGGACGCGGCGGCACCAAGGAGAGGCCTCGTACTCGAAAAGGATGAGTTCTGGCGTCGGTGCAGGGGTGGATCGCCGCGCTGGCTCGCCGTTCCACAGCCTCACGGCCCCGGCCGCGCGAGAACTGAGCCGGTGCACGAACATGTCACAGTCGGCAGCACGCCTGCAAGGCGCGAGACACGCCGTCGACCGAGCCACAGGGCAGGCGTAAATGCATTTCTCTTTTTGCGTGTGCCTGTGATAGCTGGCCGAACTCCTCGAAGAGCAGCAACTCCACATCTTGTCTTCGCGATGTCCACCCCGCCGCGCCGCCGCTCGCGCCGCCTCGCCACCGCCGCCGCCGCCGCCCCCTCGCCAAGCACGCCGCCTGCCCGCCTCCTCGACCTGCCCCTTGAGCTCCTCGTGCGCGCCCTCTCTCGCTGCGACCCCGCCGACATCGCTCGCGTCGCGGCCGTCTCGCTGCTCTTCCACGCCTCGCTTGCGCTAGAGGCCATCCGCTTGTGGGCGCGAGAGCGCGGCTTCGAGCTTCCGGCGCAGCCAGAGGGCGAGAGCTGCGCCGTGCGGTGGCTGTGCTTCGCTGCGTTGCTGTGCGAGTCCAACCCGCCGGCGAGGCTGGCGGCGGGCTATCGGCACAGCCTCTTCATCGACGGCGAGGGGCGGCTCTCGTCGTGCGGAACGGCTGAGAACTGGATTCCGGGACTGCTCGGGCACGGCAATGAAGTGACGCGGCTCAACACGCCGACACGCCTCCCCTCCCCGCTGGGTGGCGAGCGCGCTGTGAGCGTGTCGGCTGGAGAGGACCACAACCTCGCCCTCACCGCCAACGGCGCCGTCTGGAGCTGGGGCTTGGGGGGGCAAGGCCAGCTGGGCCACGGCGACCAGCAGCACCAGTGGCAGCCCAAGAAGGTCGAGGCCTTGGCTGGCCAGCGCGCCGTCGCTGTGTCGGCTGGAGCCGCGCACAGCCTCGCCCTCACTGCCGGCGGCAGTGTCTGGAGCTGGGGCTGGGGAGGTTTTGGCAAGCTGGGCCACGGCGACGGGCAGAGGCAGTCGCTGCCGAAGAAGATCGAGGCCTTTGCTGACCAGCGCGTCGTCGCTGTGTCGGCTGGAGATGTGCACAGCATCGCCATCACCGCCGACGGAGCTGTCTGGAGCTGGGGCGGGGGAGGCGACGGCAAGTTGGGCCACGGCGACGAGCAGCACCAGCTGCTGCCCAAGAGAACCGAGGCGTTGGTAGGGCGGCGCGTCGTCGCTGTGTCAGCTGGCTTGGGTCACAGCGTCGCCCTCACCGCCGACGGCGCCGTCTGGAGCTGGGGCGGTGGAGCCTATGGCAAGTTGGGCCACGGCGACGTGCAACGCCAGCTGCTGCCGAAGAAGGTCGAGTTGCTGGCTGGCCAGCGCGCCATCGCCGTGTCGGCTGGAGCCGCGCATAGCATCGCCCTCACCGCTGGCGGCGCCCTCTGGAGCTGGGGCCATGGAGCCGCAGGCAAGCTGGGCCACGGCGACCAGCAGGGTCAGCTGCTGCCCAAAAAGGTCGAGGCCTTCGCTGACCAGCGCGTCGCCGCCGTGCTGGCGGGAGAGGACCACAGCCTCGCCACCACCGCCGACGGCGCCGTCTTCACGTGGGGCAAGGGCGAGAGCAGCTGCCTAGGCCACGGAGAGGACCTGTCGAACCAGCTGCTGCCCAAGAAGATCGAGGCGTGGGCGCAACGGTAGTTAGCTAGCGAGGGAGGGTGGGTGCAGCAGTGGTGGCGGAAGCTGCGGCGGAGCGAGGTAGGAGGAGACGCAGCGCCGCGGCGCGGTGCGCACTGCCACTCGTTCGGCCTGGGCAGTCGACGTGGCGCGGCAAGGTGCGTTCGAGACTAGAATCTCAATCTAGATCAATTGATCTGGAACTGGATTGATGAGATGGGAAGCACAGTCTCTCGTGTCTCGTGTGGTGTCTCAACGAGTCTCGAGGAAGGTCGAGCGTGGGTCTGAGATCGTCTGACCCTTCGCGAGCGGCTGTCTCTGTGTTCCTGTTCGTGGCTCTGGTTGCCAATTAGCAATTTGCTGTGGGTCCTTGACCCCCCGCGGCTTGAGCGTTGAGCTTGAGGGGCCGGTCCGCCGGTCTCTTAAAGGTGATTACGATAATACAACAGTCGCACACGAGATACGATGTGTGTCCGCCTTGCGTTTGTTTCATTTAACATCGAAGGGGCTAGCTCAAAAATAACACAAAAGAACCAAGGCTCCAAGTGCTTCTGCCGCGGCATTGTGTATAAAATCTGCACGCGGCCGACCCTTTCGCAGCTTACTCACAGCTCACAGCCCGGCAAGCAAATCCGCGGGCACGCTACCCCCTCCCGGCGTACTAGCCGAGCAGCGAGAGCGCGCCGCCTGGCCGTGCCCCTTCTTTCTCTTAGACGCGCCCATCGCCTGCGCCGCGGTCGCCAAGGACACACGGGCGTGCGGCCCCGGAAACCAGGGAGTGGCCAACGCTCTATAGAGCCCTGCGCGCACGAGCTGCTCCGGCGTCACCTGCAAGAAGTGCTCAAAGGGCACCGACCCCGCGCCCGGGTCCTTCTCGTGCAAGACAACCACCTGGCGTGGGGAGAGCGAGGGGAGAGCGGCCTCAGCGAGTCACATCGAGAGCGGCGATATGAATCTGGCGCACACCTCGACGCCGGCAGAAATGGCGGCGTGCACCTCCATCTCCAGCGCATCGCCCGCCTCCCCGACAAAGGTGTCCGCGTTGAGGTAGAGCAGCAGGAATTGGCGCGCGCGGCTCGCGGACCGGAAGGAGTGCATCCGGGACAGCTGGGGGACAAGCTGGGGCCGTGACGGCCCGCTCGGCTTGCGGGGGTGGCGGGAGCGGCCTCGCTTTGCGTTGGACCACGCCGCGGGCCAGCTTGGAGCAACCTTGGATCGGTGCCTCCCCAGCCTCGTCCGCTGCACGCCCACACGCATCACCACGCTCGCCAGGGCGCGGCTCACCTTGCCGACCCCTCGGCTGTGAGAGGGCTGGGCTCGAGCAATCGGCAGCCGCTGCAAGCTGACCGACGACCCGCTGCTGTGCGACTCCTTCCGGAGCCGTTCAAAGGTCTCGAGCAGCGGGCGAGACTGTTGGGGGCAGTCCAGGTTGTCGACCCTCGCGGCGAGCAGCTCTGCCACGTGCGCCGCGCCCGGGTTGTGCTGCGAGGCGTGGAGGACCGCGGGCGTGGGGAAGTGGAACTCATAGTCGGCCGGGTCGCTGCGCTCCGGAAAGTAGAGTCGCGGCGAGCGCCCCTTCTTCCGGTAGTGCGGCGTGTGGCTGAGCGTCGCCTCCGCGATGAGGCGCAACGACTCGAGCTGAAAGCGGTTGAGGCGGTGCCATGGCACGATGCGCATAGCGCCTAGAAAGGTGGCGGCGTGCGTGCTCACCGCGGCATGGGCAGGACGCGTTGCACCCGGCGTGAAGAGGGCCACCGTGATCGCCCGAGAGCCTTTGATCGGGGGGAGGCGGGCCGAATACCGCGTCGCGCAGCTCCAGCGGGCACTCTTGCTGCAGCTGCTCGAGGGGCGCACCGCCCTTACTCGGGTTGCTTTCGTGCACCAGCAGCAGCGGCTTCTCCTCCTTGAGCGCCGCGCGGAGCTCGCGCAAACAGTTGCGGCTCTTGAAGTAGCCCGCCGAGAGGAAGACGAGTACGACGGTTGATTCCGCGATGTGCGCCTATCACGCGGCAGCGGAGCAGCTCGGGCAACAGCGTTTGAGCTTGCGGGCAGGTCGTACGCTGACGCCTCGAGGTTGTCTGCCGACAGAAGATCGTCCACATCAAGGAAGATGGAGGCGCCGGGCAGGAGGGTGGCGAGACGACGCTTGATGACAGCCACTTGGTCCTGCCCCGTCGCCCAAATGTGGCTTAGAAAAAGGTGGTACCGGTGGCCTTCCGCGAGCGAGAGAACCGGCAGTAGTCCCGTCTTCTCCACCCGCAGGCCAAGGGAACGCCGCCGCGTGCACATTCGCGTGGCGATGACAAGGACGCAGCAAGCAACGAAGAGAGTGACCGTCGACGCCACCGCCGCCACGACGACCGGCCCTCCGTACGCGCAAGCGCCACCATAGTACAAGAGGTCGCACGAGCATGCGCCATTGTCGGTGCATGTGCCGTGTCCGTGGCAGATTGCGCCCAGATCGACAACGCTCTGATCGACATCCCGGCACGCGGCGCATTCTCCCCAGTCGAAGGCTGCCAGTGGACGGCAGTAGTACTCGCGGTTTAGCGCTGACTGGCACTGTGCCGAGTCTTCACAGGTCCCCAGGCCGCGCGAGCACAGCTCCAGGAGCCCTTCGCTCGCGCCGCTGACCTTGATCACGTAGCCATCGGGATCATCTGTGAGATTCGAGTTGGTCGTGATGTACTTGTCCACGTAGCGACTGCGCTTGTCGACCGCATCCGTCACGGCCTCCCCGAGATGGGATAGGATTGCCCTGGTCCCGTCCGCGACAAGCAACACCTGGCCCCCAAGAAGCGGTGCGGTGTAGTCGGACAGGCCAAGAGCGTGCTTCACCGTCTCGCCCACGACATAGTCGGTGGCGAGCCCAAAGACAAACAGTCGCTTCACCCCGCGGATCTCCAGTTCTGCCGTGAGGTCGTGCGCCGGGTCGTCGAGCAGATCGAGTGCGCTCGGCTGACTGTCGTGCTGGCCAGCTGGTGCCAACGAGCGCCGAGCGCCGTCCAGTGCATCGTAGTTATCCTCCATAAGCTGCGTTCCGAGCTTGAAGGCAACGGTGTCGTCCGGGAGGTCAAGATACGGGTCGAATCGCGCACTAAGAGAGCCGGCGATGGCATGGAAGGGCCACTGATAGTAGCCGTTCTGGGAGAACGCCGTCTGAGATACTGTGTCCTCACACACGTGCGAATTGTTGTTGGCGGTTGACCCTAGCGTGTCGCCCGTGTCGCCCGTGGACCAGGTGTGGGCACCAAAGAGGCAGAAGCTCCCCGCAGGGATGCCCCCCTCGTGAGAGTTGCAGAAGGAGCAGTGGTCAGGAGGGTGGTAGTCCAGTGTGGCTATCACCGACGCGTTGCGGCCGCTGGAGTTGCGCAGCGAGAGCCATGCGTTGATCACATCGATGATGGCGCCCGAGTCAGGCACAGAGAGGTTTCCCTGCGCGATGAAGCCATCGACAGCAGGGACGTTGTATGAGGGCGTGGCCTGTGGTCGGATGGGCCTCGCCTCCATGAACGCATTCTGAACATCCAAGATTAGGAGCGCGTCCTGGTGGCCCAGCTGCTGGCAGGCCGCGGAGGCAGACGAGAGCGGCGGGCTCGACAGGGGAGTCGAGGGGGGCGTTGGTGGAGCGCCCACGGTGCCGCGAGGCAGGCAGATGGCAGCAACCAGCACCAGCAACCGCATCGCGCGTCAAAGGGCACCGTCACCCGCAAACCCGTGCGTCATCGTGTAACGGCTGTGAATGGAGGATTTTCATCCGGCCAGCCGCTTGCGCCTCCGGGACGACGTCGGGGGCTTCACAGGCAAGGCGCCGCCAGTGGGGAAGACCCCCCCCCCCCCTCCCCTCCCGCTCCCCCCCAGACTACCCCAAGTCGCAAGTGTGCCATGGCTTCAACAACTAAAAGCCGGACACCGTTTTTTGGTATACCGCTTACCGGAGTACCAACACCAGTAGAGACAGCACACATCTCAAAATACTGTAACCTCGAACGTCGAGGTGGACTCACACGACACATGGCCCCAGAACATGACGTACTACACGGTATATGCGAACGGGCTGATGCCTGAAGAGGCGGCGCACTCTCTCTATGGGTGCTACCGACTCTCGGCTGTACCCCGCCCACTGGGGGGCTCCGGCCGGGCGTCCCGGCCCGCCCTCAGGATTGGTCGATCAGGATTGGTCGATCACGAGAGCCGCGACGTGGGCAGGAAGCCCGCCGCAGCCCCGCGCGCGGCGAGCTGCATCGCGTCCAGCCGCCTCGGGGTCGAGAGAGGAGAGTACGCAGCCAGCCCTCCGTACCCTCCGAGCCCGAGCTCGATCGAGAGCTGCTCACGGAACCCCTCGTACACGCGCCTGGGAGAGGAGGACCGGGCGGTCAATCATCATGTGCAGCTGCGAGATTACCCGAGAGTACCCGAGAGTACCCGAGAGTACCCGAGATCATGAGCAGCTGCGTTCGCAGACTTCTCCCGCAGAGTTCTCCCCCACGCGCGTGGGGAAAGTGGTGCACAGAGACGCGTACTGCTCCCCGAGGAGTGGCCGAAGCTCTAGCGTGCTGACGCGCGCCGGAAGTGCGCCGACGGCCCGGACACCCGACGCACAAGAATGTCGTGGGTGGCGACGGTGACGGCGGCGGCGGCGGAGGAGGAAGAGGAAGTGGCTGCGCCGCTGCTGCCGCTGCTGCCGCTGTTGCCGCTGCTGCCGCTGCTGCCTTCAGGCCGCGCCTCGCCCTCTCTGGCCCCGAGAGGTGGCGAGGCGGAGGGCGAAGGCGAGGGGAGGATCGAGATCGACAGCTCCACGCGCGCCGTGCCTCTCTCGAGCAGCGAGTCGAGCCTCGCCAGAGCCTCCTTCTCCTCCTCCGCCGACACGGAGTACCGGCCGGCGCTGGCGGCGGAGGAGGCGCCGGCGGCGGCCGTAGCGGCGGCGGGGGCGGAGGAGGCGGCGGCAGCGGAGGCCGATTGGCTTGACGACGGGGAGGAACACACCGACGAACACGCGTGAGCGGAGCCAGGGGCGGAGGCTGCGGAGTGCCCGCCGGCGCTGACGGCAGCGGCGGCGGCGGCGGCGGCGGCAGAGGAGGAGGCGGCGGTGGGGAGGGAGGCGGAGGTGGGGAGGGAGGCGGAGGGGGCGGTCGAGGCCGAAGTGGACGCGGCGGCAGCAGCGGGAGCGGGGGGGGGAGGAGCTGCAACGGGTGTCGGCCTCCCATGCGCCGCCTCGTCCGCCGCCTCGTCCGCCTCCTCCGCCGCCGCCGCCGGCCCCTCCGCCCTCGCCTGCGGCCCCGCCCCAAGCGCCTCCGCCGCCCGTGCTTGCCACACCGTCGCCGCCGCCTGCCCCGCCGCCGCCTGCCCCGCCGCCGCTCGCCCCGCTGCCGCCTGCCCCGCCGCCTGCCCCGCCGCCGCCCGCTCGGCGCCCGCCGCCTGCACCGACGGCCGCCGCTGAGCCTGTCCACAGCTTTCTTTTGAGCGGTCTTCCCGTCTCGGCCGGTTGCCGCCGCTGCGCCGCGAGGCAGGCCAGGGCGGAGGCGTGGGGTGGGGTGGGGTGCGCGCTCGCGCCGCGCGCGCGGGCAAAGGGCGGCCGAGAGTAGGGCTCGCGGGCCAGGGCAGGTGTGGCGGCGGGGTCAGGGGTTCGGGCTCGCGGGTTCCCCCCCTTCCACCTGCACAGCTCCGCCCGGCTTGGGCAGCGCGAGCTGGGACGAGGAGGAGGACCTGCCGGCTGGGCCGGAGGCGTGAATAGGAGGTGTGAATAGGACCTGCCGGCTGGACCAGAGGGTGGAGGGGCCTCTTGAAGCCGGACGCCGGAGACCGCGTGAGGGGCGATCCTATTGCGAAGCAAGTCCAGCGACCAGTGAGGTTGGCGCAGCAGGACTCGACGACAGGAGCCTCGCGAGACTTGCTTCCCTTGAGAGGCGACCGCTGCAGCGGCGACTTGCGCCGCGGTTGCACGGATTCGGGAGAGGGATGCGGCGAGGGGTGCGAGGAGGGGCGGAAGAGGGCGGGGGAGTCCTTCAGGGGGGACGTGCGCAGCGGAGAGCTGGACACCGGCGAGGTGGACGAGGGCGGCGGAGGCGCCAAGGCGGGGAGGGGGGCGAGGGCGAGGCCGGCGGCGAAGCGGACGCGCGCGTGGACGCGGAAGGCAACGCCGTGCCGCAGCACGTCCACGTCCTCCAGCCGACCAAGCGCCGCCGCCACCGCCGCCGCCAGCTGGCCCGACGGCTTCTGTAGCCGCCGCCAGCCGAGTGTGCCAACCACAGGAGACGCCGCTGACCCGCGGCCGCCTCCGCCGCTGCCGCCGCCGCCGCAGTCACCGCCGAGGAGCAACGGAGGGGCCGCCGCCCTGTCGCCGCAAAGGGAGAGGCGCTCCATCGCCGGGCTCGTGAGCGAACTCTGCTGCGGGTGAAGGGCAGGACTTGGCCCCGAACTCGGGTCCGCTCTGAAGGTGGCGGCTGACACGGACGCCGATGCGCGCGGCGACTGGCCAGGCGTGACCCACGAGGTGCGTGCGCGCTTCAGGTTTGGAGAGGCCTGATTGCCAGGCGAGCTGCGCATGTATGCGGGCGAGGGTAAGCGCGCCGAGCGCTTCAGACCCTGAGATCGGCCATCGAAGATCGAACTTTGTGGGCGATGAAAAGAATTCAATGCCTCACTCAAGTTTATCGGCGATCGATGAAAAGAATTTTTACTGCTCAAGCCCTCTCACAGTTTGATTTTGGAAATTTGAATCGGCGAGAGACTGCCATACCGCGTTGGTGTCCAGTCCGAGCCTGACTGTCTTCTCTCTTCTGTTGTTCATCTTTCTACATACATACATACTGCGAAGAGAGATAGGAAGAGGCGGACGCCCAAGGGTGGGCGACGGCTAGCGCATCAACACCCCTAGTCTCCTTAAGATCCCTGTGTGGTGGCGGCGTGCCGTACGCCGAAGAATGCTCTCCGACCTGGCGAGTAGAGACCACGCCTGCTACTCACAGCACAAGCCCTCGCCGGGGGCTCGAGCATGCGCAGTCCTTTTTCCAGACGGATCCCCCCCCTGTGAAAAAGTGAGGCGTGGTCTCAACTCGCCAGCTCTCCGACGCCACGAGCGAAACCTTTCCTTCGAAGCTCAGCGACGTAGCCGGAATAGGGCAGCCCTAGAGAGCACCTTGAGGCCATTCAGTAGAGCCCGTACTATATAGTCGAGCGAGAGTTCGCTCGCCGGCTGGCGCAGTGCTGCTCTGACCGCTCCGCCGGGCCGCCTCCAAGCCGCCGCCGCGGAGACGTGCACATAGGCAAGTTTGTATTTTCATTATGAACTTCAAAATAGTATTGGCTAAAGTATAATCCTACTCATCACAACTCGCCCGCAGGAACACTCCCACACTATTGGGTCATCGTGTAGCAACAACGACGCATGGGCTGCAAGACGCGCGGGCAGCCCGGCCAACCGCAACCCTTCTCCCACAAGACCGGCCACGGCTACGTCAAGGCGCAAACCCCTTTGACAACACTCGACACGCTCGACACGCTCGACACGCTCGACACGCTCGACACCACTCCTCGACACCTCGACACGGACAAGCATGGTATCAGCCTCGACAGGCCTCGACAGGCCTCGACGACAGGCCTCGACAGGCCTCGACAGGCCTCGACAGGCCTCGACAGGCCTCGACAGGCCTCGACAGGCCTCAACACCTCCATCCCTCGACAGCAGCTCGGCACCCTCGAGACGCGCACATCGCTTCCAGGGAGGGGGGCGCACTTCTACTCACACCACATGCTAGGGGGGGTCCGAACCCCCCCCAGAGGCCTCTGTGTTCGTGCGTCGCCCATCTCTCCTAGATGAGACTGCTCTATCTATTTGTTTATGGGAGCCGCCTATGCGCGGACGGCCGGACGGTGCGGAATTCCGGTTCACGGTGCGGCACTTAGCTCCATGCACTCGATCGCCCCCGCCGCAGGCAAGCTCATTGACTATCTGCTCTGCGATGGCCGTCCCGCGTCCGTGTCCGGCTCCGGGGAGGGGCGCCGGGGTGCTTCATCCTAGAACTTCTTGCATCTTTTGGCGTTTGGCCTGTGTGAGTGTGTGGGGCTGTGCCGTGAGACGCAAGCCCCGATGAAAAGAATTTAAAGAAGAAATCTCTCTCACAGCAGACAGGCTCGACACAGGTGCGAACTGGCGCGTGCTGGTACTATCACAGGCACACCACCGGAGCCGCCTAAGCGACTCCGTTAAGAACGGCAATGCACTTAGCTCCGTGCACAATGCCGCTGTCCCCGCACGCTAGCTCGATGAAAAGAATTCACTTTGCGTTGCTCCGACGCCGAAGTTTGAATCGGCGAGAGACTGCGAAGAGAGATAGGAAGAGGCGGACGCCCAAGGGTGGGCGACGGCTAGCGCATCAACACCCCTAGTCTCCTTAAAATCCCTGTGTGGTGACGGCGTGCCGTCCTCCCATCCCTCCCTTGTGTTGTCTGTACTTGGAGCACTTGGAGTGCAGTCAGTAACCTCACATCCAGGGCCGGGGAGCTGAGAAGCGCACCCAGCGGGCCGGATGATCGGGATCGGGCTACGGGCTAGAGAGCCCTGACCCCTAGCTAGGGGGGGTGCGCGTTCGCAGGGAAAGGGCCGTAAAGTAAACACGGGTCTCCGAGGGTTGGCTCCGCGCTCCGGGTTTCCCCTAGCAGCAGACCGCCCCCTCTACTCGGAGCTATAATGAACACCAGACATGCACACGACACGCACTCTCAGACGACGTCACCGCTCAGGGCCCCTTCGCTCAAGGTCCTCATCCTCACTCCGGAGGAGGCTCCCCTCTCTGGAGCTGGGGCGATGCATGCTTTGGAAGCTTGGGCCACAGCGACCAGCTGAACCACCTGCTGCCCAAGAAGATAGAAGCGTTGGCTGGCCAGCGCGTCGTCGCTGTGTCGGCTGGGCTGCACCACAACCTCGCCCTTACTGCCGACGGCACCGTCTGGAGCTGCAGCTGGGGCGGTGGCTACTTGTACTTCGGCCTGCGTGTCGCGTGTGGGTGTGCGTGTGCCAGACAGGGACGAGGGAGTTTCCTCGCGCACCCTCAGTCGTTTCCTCTCCTGTCAGTGTATTTTTGGGTTGGTCGGCGCCCAATAAAACGAAACGACTTCCTGGGCAACAGCTCCAACTCCAATTCGTCACCGGCCACGGGGGGGGTAAGGGACACGCACACGTTGTGTTGCCGTGTGTTGCCGTGCCACCTGCCTCTCTCACTCGCATGCTCCTCTCCCCACACAAGCTAGAGTCTCCGCACCAGCTGCCCTCCACACGTCACACGTCTCTATCGCTACTCCCTCGCGCTGGGGCCAGCGTTTGTGGCATATATGGGCGTGGGCCCACAGGCAGGGCTGGCGCGGCGAACGTGTTACTCGAGGCCGCAGAACGTCAGACGATCGGCCCCGCGCCCGCGTCGATCCAGACCGGGGCAGCTACCAGAAGCAGCGCCAGCGGGAGGAGGATCAGGCAGGGGAGGCCCATGCCCACCTGGAACACCGGCGAGCCGGTGCCCACCCTGCTCGCCGTGTCCGCCATGGTTGCGGTGCCCCGCCGGGCCGCAGTGCCACGCCGACCAACAACCGTCTGCATCACCGGGACGCCGTGCCTCCGCAGGAGAGCGTAGCTCGCTCCAGCTAGCCTGAACCCTTTGGCCTCCTCCAGCCGGATCGCAGCCGCCTCCGCCTCCGCCTTGAGCTCCTCGTAAAAGACGGGACAGCCCTCTCCCTTCAGGCAGGCGCGGTACTCCTCCTCCTCCCGCAGTTTGGTGGCGCTCGCCGCCTCCCTCGCCGCCTCCAGCTCGGTGCCCCAGTGGAACGAGAGCACGACGGGGGCCAGAGAAGCAAAGCAGCCGAGCGCCGGCCGCGGGTCAAAGTGAGGCTCAAAGCTGAGG